CAGCAGCAGCAGCAGCAGCAGCAGCAGCAGCAGCGCCATCAGCAGCAGGCGCAGGAGGGTCAGGTGGAGGGGTCTGGTATGAAACCCTGACAGCAAGCCAGAGGCGGGACGAGGGGTTGAAGGGCGGGCGAGAGTACCTAGATGCGTCCCACGGCGCCCAGAAGAGCGGCGACGGACGGGAGCTGCTCCTGTTACTATCCCCCTGTTCCCCCTCCTTTCCATCCTGGTCCACCCCCTCCCTCGTTAGAGTCACCTCCTCCAAAATCTCCATACTGGTGTGCCTGTTTCCTTCGTCTGCACTCCTCAGCTCCATGCGCAAGCCTTGGACGCTGCTTCCCCTGCCTGGCACCCGGAAACCTGAACCCGGATCATGCTCGAGATAGACAATGGCTGAGACGCTCAGGATGGGCGGGAGAGAGAAGACCAGCGCTCGCATCGCACCCCCCCCCACCCACGCTGCCACCTGCTCCATGTGCTCTCCCTGCCCCTGTTCCTCTTCCCCCTGGCCGGCTTGCGGTAGGAAGTGTGCGTTGGGGGGGCATGTGACGAGCACCACTGGTTGCCGTGCCAGCAGCATGGCACCTGGTGAGGCGGAAAGCGTGGGGCAGCAGAGTGGAGGACAGTGGGGCGGCAGAGTGGAGGACAGTGGGGCGGCAGAGTGGAGGACAGTGGGGCGGCAGAGTGCAGAGGGGAGAAAGGGGTGTAGAAGCCATGAATCTGTGCAGTGTGCGCTGGGGGGGCATGTGACGAGCACCACTGGTTGCCGTGCCAGCAGCATGAGACCACGGGGCAGCAGAGAAAGAGGGGTCAAAGAAGGGCCTGGAAATTCGGGGCCAACTCCTTACCTGCGGTGACTGACTGGGGCAGCAGCAGCGTCCGGGGGAACCGTGCGGCTCAGCAGCTGCAGGTCTGTGAACTGGAGGCCTGAGAGGGGGTCATGGGTTATAATAGCACGGTGCTTACCTGGGGTGACTGGAGCAGATGTGTCTGGGGGAACCGTGGGGGTCAGCAGCTGCAGGTCTGTGAACTGGAGGCCTGAGAGGGGGTCATGGGCCATGATGCGAACCACTCTGTTGTCCCTCCAGTCACCCACCTCCCACTCCCACAACCCCACTGCACCGCTCTCCACTCCTGCTCCGCCGCTTGCTGCTTCTTCCCCCCCTGACCCACCCTCACCCTGCCTCACTTGCTCAACGACCTTCCGACCCCCTTCCAACCCCCCTGCTAGACGCTCCTCAGGCCCCTCGGAATAAGATCGCCCGCCATCCCCACCATCCCCGCCATCCCCACCATCCCCACCATCCCCGCCATCCCCACCATCCCCGCCATCCCCACCATCCCTGCCATCCCCACCATCCCCTCCTAGCCCCGGCTGCTCCTCCTCCTCTCCCAACTGCCGATTTCTGAGGCGCCTAAAAAAGGGCGCCTCTAAGGCAGAAGGTGCAGAAGGCCCATCACCCGCACCTGCCCCCGGCTGCTGTCCCTCCTCTCCCAACTGCCGCCCCCTCCTCACCCCCCTCTTCCCCCCACCACTCGCAGCGTGCCACCTGTACAGGTGCCGCCCAAACTTCCAGTGCAGGTGCCCGTTCACAAGCGCCAATCCCAACCCATCATTCCCACGCCTGCCATCCCTACCCTCGCTACTGCATGTCCCCCCATACGCGCTATAAGCTGCTGCATGGCCAAGAAGCACGTCGTGAAAGCGGCGAGGGGTGGGGGAGGGGGGGGGCGAGGGTGGCTCACGAGTGCTGAAGGCGAGGGGGTAGTGAGTGAACACAACGGCCGGGCGGGGGGTGCAGCCCTGCGCTGACGTGTTTGGTGAGGACGAGGTGGCTGACGTGGATGACAAGGCTGACGTGGCGGCCTCCCATTGGCTGAGAGCCGCATCGAGCGCGTCCAGGTCAGAAGTGGTGGGATGAGCAAAGAAGTTCGAGGGTCCCCGTAGCCCCACTCGGGGCGCCATGTCCACTCCTAGCAGGAGAATAGGAGGGGATGGGGATGCTGGGACACACAAGGGAAAGAGAGTGGGGGAGTGGGGGAGTGGGGGAGTGGGGGAGGGAATAAAGGCAAGGCAGTGGGATGAGCAAAGAAGTTGGAAGGACGTCTCAGCCCTACTCGGGGTGTCAAGTATATCCCTAGGAAGAGAATAGGAGGGGATGGGGATGCTGGGGCGTAGGAGAAAGGGGAAGAGGAGAATGAGAAGAGGCAATGGGGTGAGCAAACAAGTTGAAGGGGCCCCTTTGGCCCACTCGGGGTGCCATGTTCACTCCAAGCAGGAGAATAGGACGGGATGGGGATGCTGGGGCATGGGAGAATGGAGACGAGGAGAATGAGACGAGGCAATGGGGTGAACAAACAAGTTGGAGGGGGCTCTCAGCCCCACTCGGGGCGCCATGTCCACTCCTAGCAGGAGAATGGGAGGGAAGGGGGATGCTGGGGCACACAGTGAAAAGAGAGGAAGTGCGGCGGAGTGTGAGATCTACTCGGGGCGCCATGTCCACTCCTAGCAGAAGAATGGGACGGGATGAGGATGCTGGGACACACAGTGAAAGAGAGTGCCCCCCAGAGGGGAAGATGGTGGAAATGGCATGATGGTGGGATGGGTAAGAAGTGGGAAGGTCCCGTCAGCCCTACTCGTGGTGCCACGTGCAGGGCAGTGCAAGCACTGTGCTGCCGACACAGGGCCCCTTCGAGGTGACGTTTGATTCGACTCAAAAGTCACCTCTGCAATGCAAGTGCAAGTACTGTGCCGCCCAAACAGGTCGCCCTGGCCGCCCCTTATAGGAACACTGAACGAGTCGTGGTTGCCCCTCAGATCAAGCACCTGGGGAATTGGGCGCAGGAGGGGACTGGAGAGGGGCGGGGAGCGAGGAGGGGAGCTACAAGGGGTTGTGGGGGGAGGAGAGATGCATGTGGCGCACCAAAAACTCCATCTCTTACCTTCTCCTGTGTCTGAATCGAAGGGCCTTATGACCAGTCCTTGCACTCCCCCTCTCCCGCACTGCGCGCTGATGCTGTGCCGCCAAAAAAAATCGCCCTGGCCGCCCCTTATAGGCACACTGAACGAGTCGTGGTTCCCCCTCAGGTCAAGCACCCGGGGGAATGAGGCGCAGGAGGGAGTGGGGAGGGGAGTGGGGAGGGGAAGGTGGAGGAGAGGTGTTGGTCTTGCGGTGTTATAGAGAGGGGGGGTGTGGGGGAGGAGGGTGGGTGGGCGGCGTTGATGGTGCTGCTGATGGCCTGCATTGCTTGGGAGTATGTGCGCCATTCTGACTCGTTCTGTGCCGTTGTCGTGTGCTGGCGGTTCTTTGCCTCTGAAGGGGCAGGGTGGAAGGGAGAGGAGAGAGGGTAACCAACATTGATGGTGCTGCTGATGGTGCTGCTGCTGGTGTGCATTGCTCGGGAGTGTGTGTGCCATTCTGACTGGCTTCTGTGCACCTGCTGTGTGCACCTGCTGTGTGCACCTGCCGTGTGCACCTGCTGTGTGCACCTGCTGTGTGCACCTGCTGTGTGCTCCTGCTGTGTGCACCTGCTGTGTGCTCCTGCTGTGTGCTCCTGCCGTGTGCACCTGCCGTGCGCACCTGCTGTGTGCTCCTGCCGTGTGCACCTGCCGTGCGCACCTGCCGTGCGCACCTGCTGTGTGCTCCTGCTGTGTGCACCTGCCGTGTGCACCTGCCGTGCGCACCTGCTGTGGGCTGGCGGTTCATCTCTTCTGAAGGCTATCAAAAGAGCATCGGTAGTGATGCGCCTAGTCCTGTCATCCCATCAACACCAACCTGTGAAATCCCCAGTCACTACTAGCGCAGCAGTTGCTATAACGAGTACAGATGGCACAAGGTTCGTCAGAAGGTCGCTATGAGAGCAGAGGGAGCGATGATGCTAGGCCTGTAACCCCATCACCACGCACCTGTAAGATCGCCAGACACTATTAACGCAGCAGGCGCTATAATGCGGACAGCCGGTACGAGGTGCACTAGAAGATCATTGGCACGTGACGGCACATGCGCGCTGACGTGGACGTCTGACAGCTGCATCCACCACACCACTCCGCGACGAGCCTCGCCGCCCACCTCCTCCCACCTGAAGCCGCCCGCTTGCCGTCCATCTCCGTCAGAAAGTTGCCAGCCATCCTGTTGCAAAACCTTCCGTCCAGCGCTTTCCAGTGACTTCTTGCCGTTTCCTCTTTCCAAGTCTCCTCCTAGCAGGTCCGCTCTTAGCGAGTCCTCTCTTAGAAGCGAGCCCTCCCTTAGCGAGTCCTCTCTTAGGGAGTCCTCTCTTAGCGAGTCTCCTCTTGGAGATCGCCGAGAGTCTTCTCCCAGTGATTGCGCGGATACGAGAGAGACCCACAGGCAGAACAGAATCAACGCTGCAGCTTCCATCGTGTTGACTCTATAAATCGTCATCGTCTAACGTTGAGGCGTCTCAGAACAAAACTATCTTTTGAGACGTCTCAAAACTAGAGGTCGGCATGAGAGAGATCGACAGGCAGAAAGGAATCAACGCTGCAGGAGAAAGGAATCCACGATATTCCGCGCTTGACTATCAACGTCATCATGAATTTCACCCTGATGGTCAGAGTCTGCTAGCATGGGGGTGGACTAAGCGCCTCAAGAATAATCACTGGCATCATCTGCCAGCAAGAGCGTAGCTCGGGATACCCGTGCACGCATCCATGCGAATAGCGCAACACACCCAGGGCATGATCGCCGTTACGAAGTGGCTGGAATACACGGGTCCTGATTCATGTAGCTTGAAGCTTGAAGCTTCAGCGGAAGGAAGTGGCCAGTCCAGTTGGCAGTGATGCCAGCCACAGTATCAGGAGCTTTCAATTCAAACGCTGCAGATCGGACCCGAAGGAAGGAAACAAATTTCCCAGCTCCAGAAAGTCAACTGATGTGAGGGTGTCAGGGTGTCAGGTCAGGTGCCCGCGGAAATATCAAGGTGCTCCGCTGGAAGCAACTACCCTAAAACTCCTTATAGTAACCACGCAGAGAGCATGTACTACACCCTCATATGTTTTATATGTAGCCGATGCGAAATATTCCCTTTTGCCATACGTGCATACCCTACGTATGCATAACAGAACGTCATTCTATACAGCTAGTAAGTCTGTATTAAGCTTGCAAATCCCATGTGCACCTAGGTTATGAATTAATAATAGTACACTCGCACTTGATGATTGGCTACCCATCGTATGGCGGTTGGTTATCTTGATGGTTGGAATCAACAACCAATGTCACGTTTTCTGAAGTGGTCATCGTTCCCCGAATGTTTCAGACCGGGCTGCCCGATGTGTGATCCGTGTGTATCGTGGCCTTTGTTTACTGCTCAGAAGGTTCTTGACCATGTCAACAACCCGAGGAACCGATGCAGCAAAGACGACCGTAAGGAGTAAATGTGTAAATCGATTTTGCCCCTGCATCAGAGAAGCACACGGACAGAAACATAAGTCAACAAAAGCTCTCCCGTTTCTTATAACATGGAAATCGGAAGAGGAGAGAGGAAAAAGGGAAGATGGGGGAGGGAGGCTACCATAAATCAGGAACAAGGAAAACACAGGGCTTACCTGAACACGATTAACAATCTGCCGAATCTCCTCGACATCTGCAACCTGTGCTGCTGTCAGTTCCTTGAGACTCTCCCCCCCACTCTCACCCCCGCTGCTCTCCACCTCTGTCCCACTCCCCCTGCTCCCACCCATCTCCTTGCCAACAGCACTAGCGCCATCTTGACTTCCCACCACCACCACTGAATCCCTCCTGCCCACACTCTCCCAAGCTCCCTCGTCCTTCCGCCTTGACACCCCATGGACAGAGGCAGCAGTGGCGGCGGGTGGAGTGTGTGTGGCAGTGGTGGCAGCAAGAGAGCCGCTGTCACCAGTGGAAGAGGCAGAGGGGACGGGGCAAGGCGGATGCCGAGTGAGGCTGAAGACATGTGGCCGTGGAAGGAGTTGGCTTCGATTGAGGACGGATCTCCCTGCACGAAAGGGGGAAATGGCGTGGGGCGGGGGAAGGGGAACAAAGGGGAACGGGAAGGGGGAAGGGGAAGCTTGAGCGGTGTGAGGCAGTGTTGGCAGCAAGAAAGCCGCTGTCGCTGGGGGGAAAAGACGAGTGGACGGGGCAGAGGCGGATGCCGAGTGAGGTGGAAGACATGTGGGGGTGGAAAGAGGTTGCTTGAACTTGTGACGAGTCGCCCTACAGAAAGGGCAGGGGGAGGAAGGGGCAAGCGAGGAACGAGGGAACAGGGAGGGGGTGACTGGAGACAGCACCGGGAGCAGTGAGAGGCGTGGTCACCACAAGTTACTTCCAGAAAATAGACTCTTTTACCTCTACATAAAAGGAGACAGCGAGGAAAGTGACAGGGAGGGGATAGGGAGGGAATGAAGAAAGAAGAAGGAAGGAAGCATCAAGCGCAGTAAGTGCTAGGAGATTCATGAAGCTCATCCACATATCAGCAGCAACAGTCCGAGATGAGTTGCTCCACAGGGCGAGATGAAATGCTCCTAAGGGTGAGATGAAATGATAGGGTGAGATGAAATGATAGGGTGAGATGAAATGCTCTTCAGGGTGAGATAAAAACTCCTCAGGGTGAGATGAAATGTTCCTCAGGGTGAGATGAAAACTCCCCAGGGTGAGATGAAATGCTCCTCAGGGTGAGATGAAATGCTCCTCAGGGTGAGATGAAATGCTCCTCAGGGTGAGATGAAATGCTCCTCAGGGTGAGATGAAATGCTCCTCAGGGTGAGATGAAAACTCCTCAGGGTGAGATGAAATGCTCCTCAGGGTGAGATGAAAACTCCTCAGGGTGAGATGAAATGCTCCTCAGGGTGAGATGAAATGCTCTTCAGGGTGAGATAAAAACTCCTCAGGGTGAGATGAAATGTTCCTCAGGGTGAGATGAAAACTCCCCAGGGTGAGATGAAATGCTCCTCAGGGTGAGATGAAATGCTCCTCAGGGTGAGATGAAAACTCCTCAGGGTGAGATGAAATGCTCCTCAGGGTGAGATGAAAACTCCTCAGGGTGAGATGAAATGCTCCTCAGGGTGAGATGAAATGCTCTTCAGGGTGAGATAAAAACTCCTCAGGGTGAGATGAAATGTTCCTCAGGGTGAGATGAAAACTCCCCAGGGTGAGATGAAATGCTTTTCAGGGTGAGATGAAATGCTCCTCAGGGTGAGATGAAATGCTCCTCAGGGTGAGATGAAATGCTCCTCAGGGTGAGATGAAATGCTCCTCAGGGTGAGATGAAAACTCCTCAGGGTGAGATGAAATGCTCCTCAGGGTGAGATGAAAACTCCTCAGGGTGAGATGAAATGCTCCTCAGGGTGAGATGAAATGCTCTTCAGGGTGAGATAAAAACTCCTCAGGGTGAGATGAAATGTTCCTCAGGGTGAGATGAAAACTCCTCAGGGTGAGATGAAATGCTCCTCAGGGTGAGATGAAATGCTCCTCAGGGTGAGATGAAAACTCCTCAGGGTGAGATGAAATGCTCCTCAGGGTGAGATGAAATGCTCCTCAGGGTGAGATGAAATGCTCCTCAAGGTGAATACGGAACTCTACAGGTGGAAAAGAGCCCCACGATTCTTTCTGGTGGATTCTGAGTCGACTCACAACACACGGGGTCGAACAAAATACTCCACGGCATTTTCATGTGCCGTTTGGGTTGACTAGAAAACACACAAGGTTGAAGAAAACGGTTTAAACAAAGAGCTCCACTGTATTTTCTCACCAGCAATGCTGTTAGCTTAGCCTCCAGCATCCTTATTTGCAGTGCCTTCTCAGCAGCTTCTTTCTCTGCCTGCGCTGCTCTCCTCTCTGCCTCCACTGCTCTGTGCTCTGCTGCCTGAGAGAGGGGAGGGGAGGCAGGGGGAATCAAGAGGGGGGGAAGAGAGGGGGGATCCAGGGAGAGAGGAGTGGAAACGAGGTTGCGGCTTCTCCTCTCTTCATCCACTGCTCTGTGCTCTGCTGCCTGGGAGAGGGCAGGGGAGGTAGGGGGATCGGGGAAGAACGGGGGGAGGGAGAGAGGAGCGGGGATTCAGGGAGAGAGGAGTGGAAAAAAGGTTGGTCCTTTGAGTCGACTCTAGAATCTCCTCTCTGCCCCGCACTGCTCTGTGCTCTGCAGCCTGCAAGAGGGGAGGGGAGTAGGGTGATCAGGGGAGGGGGGGATCCGGAAGAATGGGGGATTCTGGAAGAGACGGGGCAATCTGGGGGAGACGGGGGAATCAGGGCAAAATGGAGTAGGGATGGGGAAGAAAGAGAGGAGTGGAA